ACAAATGAGTAGTTCGGGGAAAATGTGATGGATATTCTTATTTTATTTAGAATGAAAGAATATGAACTATCATTTTGATGACTTGTAATTTCTATCTATTTATATATCTATTGCTATTTTATTTCTACCTATCTATATGGATAGATAGATATACCTCTATATTTTTAATAGGTTGGAAGTGCGCTTTAATTGGATTGTTTAAGGTTGCGGCCTTATAGAAACCGCTCTATATATATATATATATATATTTTATTTTTTTTCATAATATTTTTTTTAAAAAAGATGGGACTACCTAATTTCGATTTTTTAAAAAACCTAAATAAAAAAATTCCAGATTTTGAAAATCGAAATGAGTAGTTCGGGAAAACCTCAAATATGGCGAGCTCATTGGAGTTGCTGGTCTGTCACAAACGCATTATGGTGTTGTTCTCTTTGATATTGGGTGGTTCTTAAGCCAAGTCTCTTTCTCTCCTTACAGGAACCTTGAGGTTAAGGTCAGATTGGGTTTTCTCTCTCTAGTTTTTCTTCAATTTTAGAGGGGTATTTTAGGGTAGGATCATAGTCGACATCTTGTTTTTTTGATTAAGAGTTTGTCGTTTTAGGGTTTAATGATGTGGGGTTTTCCCTTGGGATTTGTTTTCTTGATGAAAACCCTAAAACTGGGTTCCTAAATTCATATAGAGGGAATCGGATGACTCCCCTCGTTTCTTTATTTTCTCTCGCTTAATTTTATGTGATCGAATTTGTTCTGTTTTTCTTTACGAAATAACATGCAATCCAAATAGGTTTTTTTTATTACTTTTTTGAAATATTAGTTTCCTTCGATATTTAAAAAGAATTTTTTTTTTCTTGAGAGTTGGAACTTCTTGGTCTCTCTCAAGTTTTCGGTTTTTTTTTTTTTGCAACAAAACAATTGATGTTTTTGCACTGTTGTTCGTACTTCTCTTTTATCTTGGAAAAAATTTATATAAAGTTGCAACTGAAGTAAAGAATTCTCCAAGTGATCATCT